ATAAAAATTAAACTAACAATATGAAAGTCCTGTACAAAGGAGTATTGGATAAAGGAGAGAATCGGCAAAGGTCGTTTTTCGACTGTTTTCGTATAGCTTCCAATCCTTATTTCATCTTTGGTTACCAATTAATTTTCATCATTCATTATATTTAACCAATTTTTACATCAGGTTATAGTATGAAATGGTTAATTATGTCAAATAAGAAAAAAAGGCACTTTAGAGATAGAAATTTTAAAAGTTAGTATTTAAGCCATCTTACAAAACATAAATGAGAATAAAACCTACATTATATTTTTAAAAAACATATACACATATATAATAAAACATTTACATCGATATAATGGATTTCATTAAATGCGTTTGATTATTTTTTGAGAAAATTGTAAAAATGTGTTAAATCGATGACAAGTGCCATTTTCGGTTAGTTGATTTTTGTTTAATATTAAATTCTTAAATATGCAATTTCATTTTCGAACGACTTTTCGTTTTTGAGCTAGAGTGTTCACATACATACACAGACACAGACCATTTTGCGGTACTTGATTATTTGGAGTCAGAGGACCTCAAAACATGCATTTTCGTTAAAAACTCAGATTCGAAAATTTTCACGATCGCAATACTTTACCTTACTATATATTACATAGATAGGTAAGTGATAGTAATAATAGTTAGAATTAATAAACAGAGGAAGACGGTCGTGATTAGAGCAACAGACTTTACTTACATAATTATTTTGATACGTTAGAGAAGAACTTGAAATTCTAAAGGTATAAAATCAATCAAGGTAAATTGAGTAAGGTGTATCTCTGAATACGATCGCTAAGGTAGTGTTCAGAACTACATCCACTTTCAAACTTTTTGCCTTGTGAGTCTAGGATAAACGAAAACGTTCACCTCTCTTATATTCTTACAAATTTTAGGACACATTAAAATCATCTTTCTTTCTACAGATATATCTTCATCATTATTTAGTAGTTTGTCTAATACAATTAAGGTAATTAATTAGCTATAAATAGTTATTTAATTTATAATTTAATATTTTATAAGCTTAACAGAATCAAAGATTTGAATGACATTGTTCGATTTACCTGAATTTCATTCCATAATTTCATTAATAAATGTGAATTTGAAATTCTGTTTAATGAAACAATGTCTTTAACAATTTTTTTTATGAATTAATAATTTAAAATATCTCTACATTTTCTCAAAGAAAACACTTTACTAACAGGATCTGCTTGAATTGGTAATTAAGTAATTACAATGGCCTACAAAAAATTTTTTTTTAATGTTTCCAGCACTTCATGAGTCAATTCTTACTAATTTGGAGTTGAGAAAAACGAATATGACAATGAAAAATTTTCTTAGCTCTAGTTTCTGTGATATACACCAGGTGGAAGTATTTCATATTAATGGATTATGAATAAAAGATACATTTTAAGTATATGTGCTTACAACATAGAAAGCGAATTTGATTTTTCAAAATGGTAAATACATTCTAAACGTTTTAAATTGCTGGAAGAATAATTTGCAGATGTTCATGTCTGAAGAGATCATGTGGTGGCTTCATGAGATCGTCGTCTTTTCCATTGCCTTAGCTTGCGTTTTTCAGATTCTAACATCACTTTCGAGAAGATTCAGAATCGGTCGAATAGTAGATCGAAGATTCGGGTACTGTTCTTCTTTTCTTGATAGACAATCCTGCCTTTATAGGTGGAGTCGAGGAGAAATAGCAGTCATATGGTGTGTATGCTATCGCCAAACCATAATGAACCAAACCACAGTGAAAGCCATAGATCGTTTCTACTTTCTCCTCATCCATTCTCGTAGTATAACTCAACATGCAACATATGTGTGGAGCCCAATACTTATCCAGGTCCCCTACTTTCATACCGAAATAATGAAATGAAATGAAAATATGTTTTATTATTCTGGGACTGTTGTCCCTTTAGAACAAATTATAAGTGCTATATTCATGTATAAGTTGTCAAATAGAGTAGATGTTTACAATATGGTTGTTTAAAAGTAAAAATACAGACGAAAAGAGAGAAAAGACATAAAAAGCGTAAATATACATACATAATAATTATACATAAAGCGTACATAATGCAAACGGAGAAAACTAAAGTAACAGAAATATTTTCTGGGGGTACTTAGATAGCTCTTTTAGGTATATGTCGTGATCAGGCGGATTGAGAAAGGAGTAGGTGTTTAAAGAGAAGGGGTTTGAAAGTGGAAACTAATTGCGTGCGACGAATATCAGCAGGAATGGAACTCCAGATTGAGGCGGCTTGAATTGCAAATGATTTGTCATACGCAGCAGTTCGGTGGGTAGAGGTCGGAAGTGCGAGATCTAGAAGGACGGGACTGGATGGAGTATTTAAATTGTAAGCTAATGCTGATAGGCAGTATTTAAAAGAGGCGTCAAATTGCGTTTCTAGGTGAAAAATGTTTCAACATAAATATAACAAAAATTATTCACCATATTTACACATTTTCATCGCATTTTTATGAATTTTACACTAAAAAAGCACTCTGAAACCAGAAATTCTGCATTAATTGCAGCAGAAACTATATGAAACTCACAGTCACAGAAAAAAAAAACTATATTTATGACTTACAAGCAACTGAAGACCATTTGTGTTTTGTTATTTGATAGGTTTACCAACTCCTAAAAAAAAAAAATCCCCCAAATTGAAAATATTGACTCTAAGAAATGAAAAAAATAAAAACCTGTTTCATTAAAACCCATGAAGGGTCTTGGATTCAGTACAATGTGAGAGAGTACTGTTACAAGGCCAACGGTTGTGCATCCAGGTGGTGGGGCCGATATCACTCTCAACCGCCAGGTTTTTCTCCTTAATTATTTTTTAATTAAGGGTACCCATTTTATAGAGGCTGTGTGTGCCCCAGGAGGGTCTCCCGATTCCAGGGGTCGATCCACGGCTAATGAAAAATTACTAGCCACTAGCCGGATTCCAACCTAGGACCTTGAGCTCTGGAAGTCAGTGCTCACCCACTGAGCTATCCCACTCCCTCTAAAAAATTAAATGTGACTTTATCTCCAAAGCAAGAGCTAATCCGTCATTTTTATGGTGATTTTTGAATTCAGCAGATGGAAATACATATGAATTGACTATTATTCAGCCCGAAACATTTTCATTGTTGACCAGTGTTATCAATCTTAATGAGTCTTTATATCACATATTCTTATACTACTATCCTAATAATATATATGCAGCACATATTTTTATACCATTATTGGTTTTCTTATTCCTATTGCAATATTTATAGTATATTTTCATACTATTTTGTTTCACCTCATAATGAAACTATATTTATCCTTCCTTTTATTGCTACACTTGTTTTACTAATTTCTAATGAATGACAAGAACTATAATTGCATTGTCATATAGACTTATGTTCTGTTATTGTCTGTATAAATGGTAGATAAAGAGCAAATTTTATATAATTTGATTCAATCCTTGATACAGAAGAACACTAGCGGATCCAGGATTTAATTTGGGGGGAGGGGGCTTCAGCCCAAAAGATTTTTTTTTTAATAAATCTTCATAAAAATAATTTGAATAAAAAAGAAAGAAATTAACTACCTATATGAAATGGTGTTTAAGTGGTTCCTTAAGTCCTATTAAATGTAATTACAGGAACAAGAATACTTTAAGAGATAGTTTTTAATATTTTTTTCTGTAAAACATGGTTATATTTTACCATTTTGGGGGGGAGGCTTCAGCCTGATAGCCCCCTCCCCCCCCCCTGTAGACCCGCCTGTGCAGAAGAAGAAAAGTAAATTTTATTCTGTTGCGTTCAGCCTCCTAAGAATAATTTTAATGAACAATTTAGTGTTATATGTCTGTCATGCAAGTTAAATTAGATTGCTATTGTATCTTTAAATTAAAATAAAGAAAGGTCCAAGTTAACATTTGAATAATAGTTAGATGTATAAGAGTGTGTTTCACATAGACAATGGGTAATAAATAGGTATCTGTAAGGCGACAGCTCTAAAAAAGATTATAATATTACTCTTGCATATATTCCGGAGATTGATTTCTGAGGAGATGGATAAATAAATGGTGTTTAAATGTAGTTAAGGATGGGGATTTGCGTATAGTAGTAGGTAGGAAATTTCAATACAATGTAGCACATATGAGAAAAGATTTTTTAAAGAAAACAGTTCTATGAGAAGGAATAAACAGGTTTATTGAAAGAATGGACAGAGGGACAAGGAATAAACAGATCAAGAAGGAAAGAAGGCTTTTTGTTGCAAAGGTTCGGAAAAAGAAAATACCTAGGAAATATTGCCGTTGGGGAGCTAGATAGAACCACTTCAGCTCGGCGTACCATCTGGGGACCTGAGAACTCCTAGGGCTCCAAAGATGAATTTAATGAAATAATTCATTAGTCTCTTCAATCTGATCTCGAGCACATCAGATAGTCCACTGCATATAAGAAAGTCATAATCAAAGTGAGGGAAAATGAGAGGAATCTAAGAGCTGACGGGTTTTAAGAGCAAATAATCACGGAATATTAGGAACTGTTTTAAGGCAGCAATAGATTTTTGGATAATTTGGGAAATATGATTGTTCCAGAAGAGGTATTGATCAAAAATTACACCAAGATTTCTAACGAAATTATGGAAATAAGAGCAAAAAAAAATAAAATGACTAATACCTACAATTTAATGTTTATAAGTAAATTTAGATGTGTACTTAAATCAAGATATATGTATATATAGAGTTTTATTTTGTTATTTTATAAAGTTTTAGCAAACACATTCCTTAAATTCAAAAATCCCTCTACAGCAATTTGTTCGAATTGCTGATATTGCGATATTTTGTTATGAATATTTTAAATTTCTGTTTATCTTTTTAGTTCAAAGATTTCTTTTTTCTATGCTTCAATTTTCTTTTAATTTTATGAATTTATGATCATTTTTACAAAAATAAAGTATAAATTTTAATTTTGCCTTTCTTTTCCTGTAGATGAAGAGCTTGCCTATCGTTATTTTGGTGCTGTGCGGAGCTGTTTGCCTGGCTAGGCCTCCTCAGACAAGACCGAGGGCAACTAGAGGATTTAAAAATGTCGCATTATCCACAGCCCGAGGCTTTGGCAAAAGAGACGGCCTACCGCCCCTACAACAACCAAGGTTTGTACTCATACCAAGATTTATAACTTTGATTTCTAATAAAATCATTTAGACTGAATCAAATGTTCACTATATATTTTATATTCCATTATTTCAATTATATCTTCAGTTTCAGACAAAACTCCATCTTCAGTCACACCTATAAATACTCCATACAATTTGAAATTTACTAATTTAATTCTTAATTACTCATTTATGCTAGTATTTGAATACATATTAATCAAAAACCCAGTCATTTTTCGGATTATTTTTTTTTATTTTTGGGTCTGGAAGAATGGGCCAAATTTCAGGTTTGCACACAGGAAAAAAAATCATCTGTTCTTATCTCTTGCTGTGGTATATTATGTTTAGTGGTCATTTGTTGGCTTAAGTTTTATAAAGTTGGGTTTAAATGGTCATATTGGTTATTGCTTTACTAGTTATTAATCCACTACTAATTATTTTAATCCAAATTGTAAAAAAAAAAATCTATGTAGTAAGAGAGAGTGGGGCTAAAAGTTCTGATTTTTAAACAACCTCAAATATTATTTAGAAAATAACCTATCAGAAAAATTTATGGTAGGTTCTTTAAACTCTGTTGGCAAAATAACCAAAATTGAATCACCTGCATCCGTGTAAAATTTGAACTTGATCTGAATATTGTGGTGGGCTGGGTGAAATATTTGGGTGTTTTTTTTTCCTGATTTCTGGCTAATCCGTTAATAATAAAAATGTATATGTAATGTATGTTGAATCGAATGACATATCTTGAATGGGAAAATCGGACAAAGTTGAAAAATGAGTGTGTATTAGCCGTTTCATGGGACAATGCGTTACAGATGTTCGGTATTCCGGATTTTTCCTGTTGAGTTGTGATAATTTTTTCCATCAGTTGAATAGTAAATCTTTTAAATGTGGCTCACGATAGACTAGGTTGGGATGGGCATCAAAGTAAGTAATTGCCTAACCGGGATCTCTAGACAAATTACTCAAGAATTCATAACTTTGGTTATACTCAATATTTTGTTTTCATTTAAAGCCTATATTTTAAGTCAAGCCAACCTAAATGTAATATCTAAATTTCAAAAGCCTAGCATTAGCCATTGCCAAGCTTACCCCTGACAAATGTTTGTTGGACAATGCGGACATCCAGACAGACAAACAATTTTTGAAAAGTGGATTTGGTGTCTGTAATGTATAAAACTGAAATATATAATAAAATGGGTTGATTCTATTCAATGTACAGACAAAATCTTTATTTTATTTATAAAGACTAGCTGATGTACCCGTCGTTGACGGGTGTATAGTTAAAATTTGAGAATCTTTTTAATAAAACTCAAAGACTTTTGGTTGTACTTTTAACAAATGTTTTTATGTGAAATTTAGTACACAAAAAACAAAAAGGTAACAACTTAACCTAACTGGGTAAGTTAAGAATAGCTCTGTCAGGAATATAGATAATAAAAAAAAAAAGATTTGAATATACACTCATTTATTTAAAGACTAATAAACAATAGCTTAAGAGTATTCAGTCAAATAAGTCTGATAATTTTAATAAAATCATGAAACAAACGATATAATTTTCAAAAGATTAATTTTCTGTATCATAGTAATCACTTATAAATACTTCACATCTCTAAGGAGTACATTCAGGTTATACATTATCTTACTTTGTAATTAACAGGTGATCTAGCTAATCAGTCTATATAATTAGGAACATATAACATAGTTTTGATTATAATTAGTATTATATAAATCACAGGACATAAATGAATTAAGTTACTAAACAACTTACATTTTTCTCTTTTAGTTGTTCTGAGCTATCTCACTTGGAACAACTTGCCATGGTAACTTTTAGTTATGAGGAGATTCTTAAATAATCTGGAGGGCAACTGTCCCCCTTCAAAGACAAAGCTGAAAATGTTTTGAAGTCAATATATTATTGAAAATGTATTGAAATAAGACTTTGGTATCCGAAATAGTAATACATATATGAAATATTACTTATTTGTGAAATTTTATGTATTTGCATTTATCCAATAAAATTTTAACAAATCAAAATCGGATTAGAATAGATGTTTTTTTTCTCAGTATACAAAACTTTTCTGAAATTTGGCAAATTTCTTTTAATCCAAAAATAACATTAAAAATGACCTATTATGAGTGCTCATTTTGATCTGAACTCATTCTATTTATTTATTATTTATATATTCCATTCTCCCATGCCACAATGGCGATACGCGTGATTGCCATAGTGTGTTATTAGGCATGAATGCTTAATACTACACTACTACTAGTTAACATGTGTAAGGATGTGCACACTAGCAGTTCTTCTTTTCTATCTTCTTCTTCTTCGTGGCGCTTGTCCTCTTCTTCTGCGGGAACCAATACAATTACACTTCCTCCGGTCTGTTCCATGTTATCCTCTTGTCATCCTTTAGTCCGAAAATTCTTAACCCCATCGAAATTTATCCCCCTCAAAAATTAAAAAAAAAAACTGTCCTCCTCAAAAATTTTGATGGCGCAACTTGCGCCATGAAACCCGCTTCTGGGCATCCCTGGTTGCTATTGTGTATATGTATGAATTTTATAAATCCACAATATTAAATTAATGACAAGAACAGTTACATATTTGTATATAAGAGATTTAAGCCCTTAAAGAAGAATAACAAATTGGGCATTTGATCATTGCACAGTTAAGACTTAAATATATATTAATTGTAATTTATACAGTCTTCTCAGATGTATATATATATATAATCTCTGAGCATAAACAGGTCAAATGATAATTTTTTTTTTATGTACAGATTAAAAGCGGAGTGGTTAGCAAATGAACTGACAAACAACCCTGAACTGGCTGGTATGTTCGTGAGGAGGTTCTTAGATGTAGATGCCGACGGCTTCATCTCGCCCAATGAATTATTGGCCAGAACACACTAGTGTAGACTTGGCAACTTTGAAGATTGGCTCCAGCCTCAACATCATCTCTAAGAATACTAGTTACTTAAGTTATTCATCAAATATTTCGGAACATAGTTAAAACTTTGGTATTCTTTGATTATCTCAATATCCTATCTCTGTCTGTAGGTGTATTTGTAATAATTTTGAAAATAAATATAATATTGTAAAAATATTCAATATTGTCTTTGTTATTCATATATATATTCAATCTGAATAAATGTATTTACCCAAATTACCTGAAAAATAATAAAACATGCCTACATTTAAATTATGATTACTTCGTCAACAGCTGATTAATACAACAGCTGATTATAATAACTATTGAATACTTGATCAGATAATCATTTTGAAATCTAGGTCTCTATACAGCTCATTGCAATACATTTCATCTACCATTTTACAAACTTGATTTCATTATCATTATTTCCAAAAAATTCATCATAAGTATTTAATTATTAATTTCCATTAATTTAATTTTAAATATGTTTCATATCATTTAAAGAAACCTTTGCTTTTGAATAATTCATAAATTTTACATTATTATTTAAGATTGTTGATTATTTAAAAAGTTATTTTTTTTCATTTAATTTTAATATTGAAATTATTAGATAATTTATATAAACATTTTTTCAATTTAGAATGAATGTACTTCTGTATTTTTTGGATAAAAATTAATCAAAAATACTAATGTTGTATTTTTAAAATAATTTTATTTAAATACCTCATTTATATCAATTGTGCAATATTGAATTATCTATATAATAAATATGCAATTTTAATAGAAGCATTCATATGAAAAATGATAGAGACCTAACATAAAACAAGTTTTCTAAAAAGAAATTCAAATTTAAAAAAAATAATTGCCTGACAAAACAAAAGATGAAAGATTTAAACTTAATAACAATGGTCATATTCCAGCTCCTATAGTAATTTCATTTTATTAGAAATACAAGTAAAAATCTAATCAACTACTGATGCATTTTTTGTTTTTTTTTAACTCATTATCATAGAGTTAAAGATTATAAACTTTGTTTCCGAAAATTACTTAAGTTTCATGTATAGAGTTTATTATGTGTTATGTAAATGTATATAAAATTGATTGTATGTATTTTATGAAAGATCAATAAACTTTTTTCTGTATATGAATATATATCCCCTTTATTCTGATTTATTTTATATTTAAAAAAAGATATTAAAAAAATTTTATTTTATGAAATATGGCTACTTTTATTTAGCAGTTGTTGAGATTTAATGACAGGATTAATTGTTGCCACTGGTGAATCTTTGGGGACAGAGGGAAAGACTTTCGGACTGAAGCTCTCCTCCCATGTCTAAATGAAAATATACAATGGTGAGAAAAAGTTTTCGAGCAATCCAAACTTTTATAAAAATAATAAATTATTCAATTTTAAAGTTTTTTTACTTTCTTAATTGTAAATTGATTTAACCTTGCAAGCATTTTAGATTGGACAGAATTATATATTTCAGACCTGCCTGAATATTTAAAGTATTCAGTTTGCGTGGTTTTTAACATCTTTTTGATGACATAATGACATAATGAAATCATGAAATAGAATCTCAATTTCTGTTTTAAATCTCCCTGATTGTAAGTCCTGGTTGATACAAAATTATGATTTTATATCTAACGAAAATAAGATATTTTGCCTATTTCTGAAATAAAAGCCACATTGGATCAATGTGGATAGAAAAATAAAAATATGAAATATGGAATTTTAAATTAAATTACCTAAAAAAGGAAGAATTCCTATATGAAAACAATGTTCACAGATATACTCAGCTTTCTAGAATTTATACAACAATTAATAACGTTAACAATAACAACTAAAGACTGAACTGAATAAGAAAATAAGGAAATTCAAACAATAAGATAGCATTATTCAAAGGATAATAACACATCAAATGAAAGGATTGGTGGCTTATTGGTAATTGAAAATAATGTTAATATATATATATATATATAAAGAAGAGAAGAATAGTTGGGGTGGTCAGTCAAAAAAGAAGGCAAAAATAAATGATAATATTTATTTTTACATATGCCGACGTTTCGACCTGAAGTTCAGGCCTTCATCAGGGCTAAGAAAATAACTAGATAACAAGGTATGAGAAACATAAGTAGTGATGGAAAAAATAAATAAATAAATAAAAAATTATAAAAAAATATATAAAAAATAAGAAATAAATATAAAGTAAAATGCAATTGTTAGAATTGTTGCTATTGTCATTATTCTAACAATTTCATTTTACTTTATATTTATTTATTGTTTTTTTTTATTTTTTTTATTATTTTTTTTTATAATTTTTTATTTATTTGTTTTATTTTTTTTTTTTTCCATCACTACTTATGTTTCTCATACCTTGTTATCTGGTTATTTTCTTAGCCCTGATGAAGGCCTGAACTTCAGGTCGAAATGTCGGCATATGTAAAAATAAATATTATCATTTATTTTTGCCTTCTTTTTTGACTTACCACCCCAACTATCCAGCTCTCCATTATCCACGACAGTCAACCATTTACCAATTATGTATATATATATATATATATATATATATATATATTACATCTACAATGTCAGTATGGTTAAATCTGTTTGTCACAGTTAAATTGAAACTTAAGAGATGGGTAAGCAGTAAACTGATCAATTATAAGGATGAAATAAAATTGTTAGGAATTTTAGTCGATATTTTTATTGTGTTATGCGTCGTTTCAACCCAAAGATGTGGGTCATCATCAGAGCTGAACATTTTTAAATACAATCAGAGATATAATATTATACAACAGATAATGGTTAATAATAAAAAAATAGTGATTGATGATAAATGAAATAGATAAATGTTACCCACCTCCCTCACTCTGACTATGTTTATCTATCTTTTTCTACCTTAAAAGCACATCTGGGAAATACTCCACCGACCCTTTTACTTACCTACCAAAGTGCCAGTACTTGAATACCTTCAGTGCTTGAAACACGGTTAGTAATAGAAAATATTACATTTTTTATAAATTGATCATAAACATTATTTTAGTTTGTATAAATTTTTACATATTTAATTTATCATCAATCACTATTTTTTATTATTAACTATTATCTGTCGTATAATATTATATCTCTGATTGTATTAAAATTTTCTAGCCATGGCGATGACCCAAATGTTTGGGTTGAAACGTCGGTACCAATAAAAGCCGGGTGATGATAAAAAGACGCCACCCCGGCGGTGATAAAAAGACTAAAATAGTGAGAAAACTATTTTATTTCAAGTGAATAAGTTTGGTCAAAACGTTGGTCTGAAATAAAAGGTTTTTTTTTCTCACTATTTTAGTCTTTTTATGTCGGACCATCTCCTTCCTCAATAATTATTTTATTTTTTGAAAATTCAAAAACATTGGGAAAATGTTTTAAATTCTTTTCTGATCACAATCAATTCCTGATAACATATTACATTTTTTGTGTGTGTGAAATATGTTCTTATAGTCTTATTTATTTATTTTAATTTCATGAAAAATTAAACCCTTCAAAATTGCAATCTTCTTTACTTATTCATCCACATGTTTCAATCCATTTGCCTAATCCTCAAGCTTATTCATGTATTTCTTGCCTGTTAATAATGAATAATAATAATAATAATAATAATAATAATATAATATTAATAATAATATTAAAGATATTTTTTTTCTCAATTCAATTTCATTATTTCTTTTGTTAGACAACAGCTTTCTTCTTATTGGTTCATTTAATTGATATTATGCAATTGAATAAACAAAAAATAAAAAGCCATCAACGATTTTTTTCGTATAATTTTATTAATGATTAAAAAGAGCTGAAGAAATATAAGAATAAACTTGTGAATGAGTTGTATAACTTGAAATATTATTCAGGCAATTAGGAGATTATAATTTAATAGTTTAAATGAATAAAATAAGAACACTGAACCCAAACTTAATTCACTGCTGATAAAATAGAATAAGTAAATTATCTACCATTGAAATTTAATTCAAGGAGTACAGTGGCTTATATAATTCCCATTGCAAAAAATAAAATAACAATAAAAACCAAATAATTGAACAAACATAAGATGATAAAATTATGGGAGATAAGAGATTAGAGGAAAATGGGTTACTTTACTAAAAAAATAAAAATTAGAAAACCGGTACTAAGAAAAAGTTACTACTACAACCAATGGATCTTCTTAGGTGAAGAACTCAGTAAGGTAACACTGATTAAAAAACAATGGTTGCGTAGGGAAGTGATTGAATTGAGACCACACACAACTGTAGGTGTGCCTAGGAGGGTATCCTAGCCCAGGATCGATCCACAGTCAACCAGAACAGTGAAACAGAATAAATAATTATCTGCTACAGCAACTCGAACCTCAATCTTGAGAATAGGAGCACAGTGCCTGAGCTATACCAGTCTCTAAAAAGAAATAGAAACATTGGAGCTCATATAATTAAAGGTAATTATTATGGAAAAATAAAATGATGATCGGATATAAATGGTACAATATATAAGTGGTGGTAAATATAATAACAGAGAAAAAAAGGTTCATGACAATTAAAATTAAAATTAAAACAATGAAAATATAAATATAGTCTATCCCAAACCTGGACAAAAAGTTTTTTAATTGTTTGAACAGAAGTTGGTTGGAGTTTTGAGCCAGACAAATAAAAAAGTAAAGATAAATAAATTTATTAATATATATTTATTAAAATAAAATAAATTATTATTGTTTATTTGGTAAGTTCCTAACACTGTTACCGCTATTATTTATTTCATAAGTTCCTAACTTTGTTACTGTTATCTTATATATATATATTTTTTTTTTGTTCTTCCCTACCTCACCTTTTAGGCTATACGGGATTTTACAGGACCAGAGAGTGAGAGCGGAGAATTTAAAATCCCCTCTGGCACCGGGACGTGAACTCGTGATTATTTTCATATCATAGAATCATAAATCCGGTTGCCAGGCAACGGTGGTGCAATGCACACGCGTTAGCCCATTCAGCCACCCCGCCCTCTGTTATCTTATATGTCCTAACTTTGCTTCTGCTACTTTCTATTCCCAACTTTGTTAGCGTTATTTTATATTTTTTTCATTTATATATCATATATTTGTCTAGTATTTACTAATATTAAGTTTATTTTATCTCCGTATTATTATACTATACTTTTTACCTATATATTATTACTTTTACTGTCTATTAGTTTCTCATATCTTTGTT